TTACTTCCCTAATAAACCACTTAACTGTAAGTACGGTTCATGAGTTCTGTGAGACTTTGCAGTGAAATATGGAACCCAAAGACTGGAGGGAGGGTACTGAGGGGAGAAGGAGTAGCTAGCTGATGTTAGAGATGATGGAGTGGTACAGCAGTTTGGAAAAGTTGGACATTTGGGACGTCATTAGTCTCCACCTCATAGGAACCAGCTTTGTGCTGATTCTTCTTAAATTATTCACTTATACCTGATAGACTAGTCTACAAGCTCTTCATCCGCACCTCCTTGTACAGAATCTGGAACTGTGTTAGATTCTCAATAAATATTGAGCATGATCAATAGAAGTTATTGAATTAATATAGGCATTCCATAAACAGTAACTATATTATGATTGCATGAAGTATTAGCACAGGTGATTTTTTTTTAATGTAAAACAAAGTCTTATGTATCTGTTGCATTTTCAAAATCTTAATTGTAATTACTTCTCTGCAAGTTGTTGATAGTTACATTCGAGTTGGCTTTGACTTTGACTCATAGTGGTGACCCTTACGTATAACAGAACAAATTGTTACCTGGTCCTGTGCCATTTTCATGATTGTTGGTATGTTTGAGTCCATTGTTTTTGGCTATTGTGTTTCAGTCCATCTCACTGAGGGTTTCCCTTGTTTTCGTTGACCCTCTACCAACCATGATACCCTCTTCTAGAGATTGGTCTTTCTTGATGACGTGTCCAAAGTAAGCGAGCAAAAGTCTCACCATCCTCGCTACTAAGGAGCATTCTGGTTGTATTTCTTCTAAGACTGCTTTGTTTATTTTTCTGGTAGTCCACAGTATATTCAGCATTCTTTGCCAACACCGCAGTTCAAATGCATCAGTTTTTCTTCTGTCTTCCTTTTTCATTGTCTAGCTTTTACATGCATATGAGGCAACTGAAAAGATCGTGGCTTGGGTCAGGCACACCTTAGTCATCAAAGTGCCATCTCTCTTTTTCAGAACTTTTATTTTAAGAGGTCTTTTGCAGCAGATTTGCCCAATGCAGTGAAGGCATTTGATTTCTTGACTACTGCTTCTGTGGATACAAGCGCCATGTTTGTATGTAGTATTGTTGGAACCCATAAACTAAATTTAAATTTGCAATTTGTTGGAATCAACAAGTAGAATTGTTAAGCGTGAGGTAATTATTCCACTATGGGGCAAACAGAATTGATATAAGTGTAACAGGTAAGAAATGTTACGCCAGTTTAAAAGCTTATTGGTCCCAACAAATTATTCAGATGTTACCACAATCATTCAAATATACATACATCAAACCAAAAAAAAACCTTTTGCTGTCAAGTCGATTCCTACTTATAGCCACCATATAGACAAAGTAGAACTGCCTCCCATAGGGTTTCCAAGTTGCAGCTGGTGGATTCAAACTGCTGACCTTTTGAACAGTAGCCGAACTCTTAACCACTACGCCACCAGGGCTGTTATTATGTGGTGCCTGCGTGCATGGGTGACCAAATTCCATGTACCAGGTGAAGAAGAAGGTTCTGTAATAGCACTACCTTCAGCTTTACTTGAAGGATTTGCTTTCCCTGCCAGTTATATTATTTGGTTCATTCTCTGGTTTTATCTCAGGATTCTATCTGTGATTATTGAGCATTTATTACTATGTCACCTTCTGTTATGTTCACAAAATACATGACGACCAACCAGAGGTCCTGGACAGATAATCTGTATGTTTTAGACCTAGTTATGATTAAGGCTTTGTGACCGTGGGATCCTATTTCTTGTCTTCTGAAGTCAATAATTTCTGCTGTTCGAGCGATTGGTAACATATGCCGTTATACAGTGTTATACAATGTGTTGTATGTAGTGCCTTGAGCAGATTTACTCCCATATTTTTAAATTGTCTCTCTCAGTCACAGAGACCAAATAAAGTAGGGGTTCTTACTGCTGCATATCTGCAAGTAAAGTTTATTTGCTGGCATATAGCTTATTTTGGATTAACATTATTTGTGATAATTTAAAATTGGGGAAGTAAAAATGTTATACTTGTTTGTAGAATTTCTATAAGTATTTGAGGAAGTTGTAGTCATAACTTGACTTATGAGACTGCCTTCTGTGTTCACTTTTTAAGCTGGTGATACCACAGTTCTCCCATTTGTGCAAACTATAATTCTGAGAATCATCTCTTTTTATTCCTTTTACTCCATCTTCCCCCATATCCAGAGTTATTAAGTTCTTTCTGTTTTAAACCCTTTACTGTTTCCCCAGTTCATCCTATCTTCTGTTACTGCTGCCATTGTTTTAAATGAGGCACTCACGTCTTCCCTCATTGATCTCCTTCCTTCAGTCTTGTCCTTTTCTTCATGACTGTTTGTTGTCTTTCTTACATGAAATCTGACCATGTCCCTCTCCTTAAAAGCTTTTAAACTCCCCATCAGCTAAAGGTTCAAGTCCATGGTTCTTAACATTAGAATTTTAACTAATTCTTACTCATCCTTTAAGGCTCAACACAACACTTCCTGTAGGAGTTTCTGACCACCCCACCACTGGTTTAGGTATTATTTTTCTGTAGGGTAAACAGCTCAAATACCTGAAGAAAACCAACTTGTACATGGGTGAGATGTCCTCCTAAGAAGATTATAGTGACAGGTGAAGTATAAGTGGGTAATGGGTCTAAAGCTCCATTGCAGTAAAGCTTATAGGAGTAGCATACAGAAAAACTAGGAATCAAAGAGTAAAATTGGAGGCTTACTGTTGCCCAGTCCTGTTGCCCAGTCCTAGCTTATCCCTGTTGTGTAGATAGGTGTATCAGACTATTGATGCCTGATGCCATTAAGCATTCTAATCACAGTTAACTCTCTTTGTTCACCGAACAATGATCTGGTCAGAATTCAGTAGATGGTGTAGTTTGCTGTACAGGAAGAAAAGGCTCCCTGTGTGGTGCAAACATTTAAGGACTCGGCTGCTAACAGAAAGGTTGGTGGTTTGAACCTACCCAGAGGTGCCTTGGAAGAAAGGCCTGGAGATCTGCTTCCAAAAGATCACAGCCATTGAAAACCCTGTGGAGTATAGGTCTACTCTGAAGCATGTGGGGTCACCATGAGTTGGAATCGATTCGACGGCAACTTTATTTTTTTTAACAGGAAGAAAAGCTGCTGTTGCTTTTCTTAGCTATTAAATTTCTATTGCAAATAAATAAATTGGCTCTATATATCAGCTTTTTTTTTTTTTTTTTTTTTTTATGAGCCCGTTACTCTTGGTGGTTTTACTGATAGAGTCAAATTTCTGGGTCAGTAAAGTGAGGACCAGATCTTGGCATACACAGAATTCACTGAGATAATAAATGGTAGCTTGTAACACTTCTTGGCAGCTAGGCAGCCAGCTTCTCTGGTGACATCTTCTACCACAACATGCAACTCTGTATACTTACTTTCTTTAAAATGATTTGTGCAAAAAAATTTTTCTTAGGCTTCTAAAATTTTTAAATTTAAATGATTTTGAGTAAATGGATGAGATACTGAGTAGTATTTTGATATAGTAGTGTTTTACTGCAGTATTATGATCTCTGGTTTTAATTACTATATATATTACTATAAATTTGCTAGGCCTTCACTCTCCCTAACTAGTCCTACCCTCAAGATTCATGGAACAAATTTTAAATTTTGAATGATTCACAGTAAAAAAAAAAAATGAATTCAGGGTTCAAAATTTTATCATACTCTCCCTTCTGGCTGTTTGCAGAATAGCAGCCATTTATAGAACACCCACTACGTGTCAAGCAGTGTACTAAATTACGCTAAATACTTAAAAAAAAATCCTGGGAAGTGTTTTTATTTTTTTATTGTACTTGAGATGAAGGTTTACGGAACAAACTAGCTTCTCATTAAACACATATTGTTTTATGACATTGGTTAACAACCCCACGACATATCAACACTCTCCCTTCTTGACCTTGGGTTCCCTATTACCAGCTTTCCTGTCCCATCCTGCCTTCTTGTCCTTCCCCCTAGGCTGGTGTGCCCCTTAGTCTTGTTTTGTTTTATGGACCTGTCTAATCTTTGGCTGAAGGGTAAACCTTGAGAGTGACTTCATTTCTGGGCTAAAAGGGTGTCTGGGGGGCTGTACTCTTAGGGTTTCTACAGTCTCTGTTGAGCTAGTCTAGTCTTTTTTTGTGAGTTAGAATTTTGTTCTCCATTTTTCTCCAGCTCTGTCCGGGACCCTCTATTGTGATCCCTGTCAGATAGTCGGTGGTGGTAGCCGGGTACCATCTAGTTGTACTGGACTCAGTCTGTTGGAGGCTGTGGTAGTTGTGGTCCATTAGTCCTTTGAACTAATCTGGAAAGTATTTTTACAGCTGAGGACTCTGAGACTCAAAAAGATTAAACTACTCTTCTATGGTCATAGCTAGGAAAATAGCAGAGTTGGGATTTGAACCCAGAGGTATCAATTTCCAAAGTCCTTTTTTTTCCTACTGTAAAGCATTTGCCCAGCCTATTCTTAGATAAACATATATATGTATTTTAATAATTACTTTCAGACTAGAATTTTATAAACCTGTTGAAATGCTACACTGTATTTACTTTGGCTATTTTTCTTATTTGGGGATTTTTTTAAAAAGGAAAATGGGTTTTCCATGTTGTTTTTTATACACTTAATTTATACAGTTGATTTCTCTGTATCCCAATTATAACAGCCCTTCCGCCTTCCAAATTAATTTCTCTAAGGATGTTGGTTCATGCGAAGGGTTTCTTTATTCATTACCTATTATTAAATATGCGGCTGTTTTTCTTTTAAATGGTTATATTTTTAAGGCAACACTGTTACCCAACAAAATCCTCTACCCTTCTCCAAGTGTAGTAAATTCTGCCTGTTCAGCAGCAGCAGAAGCTCTGCATTGTTTTCTGTTGCAAATGTGAGCTGAAGGGGACAGACATTCTCTCTGCTTAGCAGGTGCGCTAAGCTGTGATCTGCCCTTGTTGTATTGTTAATGGCACAATGTTTTTATGTTGCAGATGGCTGAGAGCTAGCAAGGAAAATTCAGGACCATGATGGCTCAGCTTCCCACAGCTATGAATGGTAAGCAGCTTTGTGCTTGTGACAAGATAAGGAGATTATGGGGTTTTTTTGGTAGAGGTTATAAAAATACTTGTACAGATATTTTTCCTTAAGTGTGTAAATATAAAACTTAAGTATCCTTGTTGAAAATGTTTGATAGTTTATTTCAGAACACTGCATTAGTTTCTATTAGAATGATACTGTACAGTAAATCCCACGACTCCCTAGAAGCATGTTCTACAGTATCATCTGGAATATGTGCCAGCTTTGGAATAGTCAGGAGTAACCTAAAGATACACTGTGTTTGATGCATAAAACTGGAGGACAGAAAACAGAGTGCTATAAGGTGAATATTAAAGGTGTTTTTGATATCATGGGTTGATTGTAAACTGATTAAGCCAGTGAGGATTCATTTAGTAATATATGTATAAACTTAGTTTAAGTTTTTCTGTTATAAAAGTAATCAAATTTGCCTACCAACGTAATTGTTTAATGTGAAACATTTTAAAAGAAAATGTTAGGTAATTTCAATAATAAAAAGTTTTTAAAGTTTTGATTCCAGTTTTAAAGTTTTTCCACATATAAATTATCCACCCTTAGTAAGTATTAAGTTACTGTATGTATCATCTAGAGTTGAGAAAATACACTGTATTTTTGAATCTCTAGAGAAATCTAAGATGCTGTGTTCTTAATTTTGTAGTAAATTTCATTAGCCACGGTTATAGATGAGTATAAGCAATGAGTCAATACATTCTTTAACATTTAAATTGAAGATTAATATTAAAGGACATTGTTAAAAAAAAAAATTCCACCACCTTCCAAAGCAATTCTGTTTTGTTACACGTTTAAGCATTTGATCAATTGCACATCTTTTTTTTTTTTTAAAACATATTTCTGTTTTAGGACCAAATCCCTACATTTGTTAATGAAGAAAATACATGTATGCCTAAAGTTTAAAGACTCAGAATTGTATTTGGAAGATTTAGGAAAGTTTTGGAAAAATGAATTTTTGGCATAAAAAGTAAAATTAAATCCTAATAGGTAGTAGTAGGATTCTGTGTCATTTTAAGGATGGACCTGGGCCAAGGGTTTTGTTTGACTTTTCAGAACTTTTGTTTTTTTTTTTAACACCATCTTGTTCCACCTCAATCCCCAACTATATATCAAAAACATACAGATTTCTTGGAGAATTACAGGATTAACACCAAAAACTTAAAGTTTACAGGGGCAGTGGTCCCTGTCAGAGTTCCATAATTCACCTGTCTGATCCTTACAGATGGATTGTGGCTGATAACAGTGGATTATCCTAAATTTAATTAGGTGGTATCCCTAGTCACAGCTGCTGTACTAGATGTAGTTTCTTTACTAGAACATATCAATATAGCTCTGGAACTTGTATGTGCATATCAATCTGGAAAATGCATTCTTTTCAGAATCCTATCAGTAAAGATACAACTGAAATGCTCCTTAGAAGAGAGGATGGCAAGACTTTATTTTGCTTAGTTTGGACACATCACCAGGAAAGACCGATTGCTAGACAAGGTTATCATGCCTGGTAAAGGAAAGGGTCAGTGAAAATGAGGGAAGCTCCCAATGAGATGGATTGACACAGTAGCCATAACGATGAACTCAAACATATCAAAGATTATGAAGATGGTACAGGACTGGGCAATGTCTCATTCTGTTATACATAAAGTGGCCATAAGCAGAGGGCAGCTAACAACAGTGGAAGAGTCTTGGGGGATTCTCAGCCCAGCTTAATTAATACCTTCCCCATGAATAATAAAGTCCACATGGAGGCAGAGGGTGTTAGAGTCTGGGAGGGAAAATCATCACAATAAAGATATAAACATAGGACTTTGCAAAGCCTATGACCATCCTGATGTGGAATTTGTCTTCTGGATAAGAGGTGTAGATCATTTCTGTGTTTCGCTACCTTGTTACGTACAGTAGGAATTGACTCTGACTGGCAGGCTACATTTCCCAGGCTGCATCACAAGATGCCTTTTAACTAATTTTAGCCAATGGGAAGCCCTGGGGGAGGGGGAGAGATTGGAGAGATAGAAGGAAGAACCCAGCACACTTTTCCACCACTACATCTGCCTTTGGAGAAGAAACTGAAGATGTCAACAATTTCATTCTACTTGGATTGACGACCAACGTCCATGAGAGCAGCAGTTAACAAAATCAAATGACATATCACATTCAACTATCAGGAAAGACCAATTGCTAGAAAAGGGCATCATGTTTGGTGAAGTAGAGGGCCAATGAAAATGAGGGAACTTCTCAATGCGATGGCTTGACACAAAAGCCACAACAATGGACTCAAACATACTGACTATCGTGAAGATGATGCAGGACTGGGCAACTTTTCGTTCTGTTATACATAAGGTCACCATGACTAGGAGCTGAATCAACAGCAAATAACAACAACATCTTTGGGTGGCATCTCCCAGCCAGCCGGCTCACCCCTAGCACTGGACAGCTTGCCTCAGGCTTTGGTAATACCACCTCTACTCTTTGATCCTCCAGCTATATAGGTGGTAGAGGATTATTGCTGTTGCTAATCTCCAAGTTGCCTCATAATCTCCTGTTTGGTCCTTCTGCCCTTCCAACACCTTTACTATAGTGACTAGTTACAAATTCCTCATTATAACCTCGTGAGCTAGGTACAGTCATATGGCTCTGCTTTCCTAGAAGGACCCTGACTGATAAAGGGGTTAAGGGAGGCACTCTGCTTTGTTTTCCTGCTTGTAGCAAGCAGCATATTTTGAGGCTGAAACTCGTAGGTTGTCTGGTACTATCCAGGTCGGTCTTCAGCCCCTGTACTTTCATTTATGTCCTTGGGTGCTTTGTTGGAAGATCTACTCTTTCCATCTTGATCTCCAGACTCAAACTCCTAGGCCTTCATTAATGTAACTCCTTGGTCCTAAGCCACTTGCTGCACTAAATCTGCTTTGGCTACTCTAACCGGGCTCTACTATGACTCCTCATACTGATCCTTGTCCTGCCTGTTTATACGTTACATTCTCTTTCTTCTAGTGATTTGAGCATCAGTGTGCCTATGGACATTACTTTAAGCTCTCTGGGCTTGGTCAAACGCTCTCCAGGACAGACCAATCTGATGTATGAAAAGAATGTTTCTCCTATTTCACTTACCTAGGGGCTGGAGATCATCCCATGGAGGCCCCGAACAAGAAACTGTTGGCTTCCTGGCTGGTGGGAAAAAAAAAACCCACAGAAGGACCTTATTTGAAGGGCATTTAAACGGGTAAAACTGTTAGGCTCTCTTTCATCTACCTGCTGTACTGAAAGAGAAAGAGGCAACACTCAACCAAGAGTTCTAGAATATGTGAAGGCCTGTGAAAAATAACATGATCGGTTTGTCGTCTGATCTCTGGATTTACTTTTCAAGGCTAGATTTTAGGGCATTAATCTCTTCCTGATACAACATTGCTTACTGAAAGTGAGGAGGATCTAAAGCACTTACTGATGATGATCAAAGACTACAGATTTCAGTATGGGTTGAACCTCAACGTAAAGAAAACAAAAATCCTCACAACTGGACCAATAAGCAACATCATGGTAAACAGACAAAAGATCGAAGTTGTCAAGAATTTCATTTTACTTAGATACACAATCAACACCCATGGAAGCAGCGGTCAAGAAATCAAACAACATATTGCATTGGGCAAATCTGCTGCAAAAGACTTCTTTAACGTGTGGAATAAAAGAACAAATATA